TGTCTCAAGTTCAGAGCGGGACAGAATGGGACTCAGCTTAGCAACGTTCCTGAGATGGAAGAAGGAAGAGCGAACAAGAGAACTGACATGAGAATCCAGGGTGAGAGCTGGGTCAAAGGTCACGCCAAGCCTATTTATTGTCCCGCCTAACCTTATTAAAGCTTATGCAGAATCCCATGACCTCTTGTCCCTGAGACCTTTTATCAGAACTGCTGCAGGTTAAACCCTGACCATAACCCTGGATCGATGTTGGACCAGTTACATCGTGCAAACATCAAAGATCCGCCATCCTCTTGTGCACGCATGTAGAAATCCACAGCTCCTCATGTGTTCAGCACATCAGGAAGGACTCTGACTCTGCTGCCCTCATGTCGTCCACCTCCAGGGGAAATTTGCTGAGCAAGCACAGAGGTTTAGCAATTCTCTTAACGTTCAGTCGCTGCAGGAGCTGGCGTTGACAGGTATCATGGCTGAGTTATGGCAGCCACAAATGGCGTCGGGGCACTGAGACAGTCAGGTTTAAGTAACTTCCTCCACAACACCGCAGCTGCTGCTGGGTTTGATTTAAACCCTTAATAAACCGGGCTAGTCTGACCAGGATGTTTGTTCATCTGTTGTGTCTGATTCTGGACACGTGCAGCGGTGAGGGGGCAGAAACACCCTCGTCTTTAACTGATGCAAAATCCAAATCCAAAGGAACCGTGTTACTGATTCGAAGATTAATACCTTTAGTGTTTAAAAGCTGATGTTCGAAATTTGAACAATCACCCAAATCAAAGCCCCACATGCGTCTAGAATCACCACATCTTTGTGCAGGTGCAGCCTGAAGTCCAGCGATGGGGGCTGCTGCCCTCTACAGGTGAATCTAGGCTCTTGACTGTTCTCCCTTCTTTGTCATGTGAAATGTTGGTTTGATAGTATGTAACTTTTATTTCGGATACACTGGTCAGTCCCATGAAACAACACTTAACAGAGAAAAACTTCTTCCAGAAGCTTCAGGGAAATCTTACAGGGAGCCTAAGTCTTGTCCCTTTCCGGTCGGCTCATGGGTCCCCAGAAAAACGAGGAAACAAATGCAAGTCAACGGGGCTGAAAACGCCATTTTCTAATCCGCTTTGCCCTGGATCGCACATGTGTTGTACTGCTATTTAAATGAAAAGTAATGAAGGGTGTTTCGACCACGCCAGTCATTTATCGTCGTATGAAAGTTCATAATTAGTATGACTACAAATTGGATATCGGCACGTCGCATATCACCACAGAATCTCCTCTCCTCTAGCGTAGCTGCTACTTACCGAATGACCAGATTTGTGGTGGTTCTTTCCTCCTGTGGGAAGTTTGCTGAACTTGCAGACCTTTTTCCTCGGTTTTGGTTCGATGACGTCAGTTTCGTGATGCGCATTTGTACTCCTGGACTTCTTTCCACACAAAACCTAAAACAATGTTTCCCCGTGTTCAAAAAGAAGCGCGTTCTTGGTATCAAAATGTGTCTTTAAAATTCTCGGACATCATGTGTGAATTCCATGGAACATAACAAGCGCAATTAGAAAATAGCCTTTTTAGCCCCATTGACTTGCATTTGTTTTTCCGGGGACCCGTGTTCCGGAAGTAGATGGGCGTGACTTAGGCTCTTGTACTATCCCATCTCCTTGACATAATTTCAGCCGCCATCTTGGACATGGGTACATTTTAACCATTTTTTTCAGTTTTAAAAACATCTGACATATTTATAAATCACTTTCTAGAAATGTATGATGTATATGAAACCTGCCAGAAACCTCCACCCTTGTACAACTGCGCTGCTCTGGGTGGCTGCATGTTGGAGTAGCTCTGTTGACTATATGTAAGTTTTGCCTTTTCTTGGACATTTTTTCTTCCAGTTTCTCAAGATAAACTGTATTGTTATGGACATTTGACTTTTCTGTTTCTGGTGTTGTGAAGCTTGGAGGATTTTTACTGCTATTTTTTAGCTTTTTTCAATTTTTGAGCATTTGTTATGATGCGTAACCATGGCAACAAGCTGGTTTACAATCAGGAGCAGCTGATTAACATTGGAAAGGCTGAAATAACACCTCAACTGAAGCCACAAATCCCAAATGAGCTAAAACGCAAGAAGCGTGGGCGAAGAGCGGGAGCAAAACAGAGACAGAGAAAGAGGAAATTCAAACCATCTCTTCCATCGATCATAATGGGCAATGTGAGATCATTGGCCAACAAGATGGAGGAACTCCAAGCCCTTTCAAGGACTCAGCCAGAGTTTCGGCAGTTTCGGAACCGCTGGAGGAGATAATGCAAAGAAGGATTCTCCAGAGAATCAAGAAAATGATGGACAACCCTGATCATTCTCTTCACAAGACTGTCCGACAACGGAAGAGTGTCTTCAGTCAGAGGCTTCTTCAGTTTGGCTGCAACACTGACCGCTACTGGAGATCCTTCCTGCCAACAGCCATTGTAATATACAACAACTCTTTGATGACTTGATTATTATTATTATTCTGAGCTACTACAGCAATCAGTTTCCCTCTGGGATTAATAAAGTATTTTTGAATTGAATTATGTTATAACATCTTAGGTGTGTTCTTGCTGTGTCTTTGTAAATCCATGCTTTCGTTCTTTTTTAAACACAGAAACAGTTTTGTTTACCTGTTTGTAGCTATGGTTTCGCCGACAGCTGCCGGCTTCTTCAGGCTGACGCTGATGGTGGCGCGTCACTTCCTTCTCCGTTTATCTGCGGGCAGCAGAGGACGTTGTCGCCCTCTGCTGCCCGCTCTCCCCTCTCCGACGATGCAGTCCCATGCGTGGTCCAGCGTGTAAACTCCGTCGTCCCTGTTCATGGTCCCACATCCACGTCTCCTTATCTCGATTGCTTCCTTGATCCATCTTTTGTATTTTTGTTGTTCAGTGGTTATGATCCGTGTGCTGT